GTGTGTGTGTGTGTGTGTGTGTGTGTGTGTGTGTGTGTGTGTGTGTGTGTGTCACCTGCAGGTTATGATGAGAGTCAGTGGAGGGAGACTCTTCTGCGACTGGGACAAACCAAAGTCTTCTTCAGCACCACAGCAACGCTGCCCTACAGGAGTGAGTCAAACACACATCATACTGTAGTACTACAGTATAGTACTGTACTATAGTACTGTAGTAGAAGAGAGTACATGTGACCTCAAGTACTGTACTTAAGTACACATGTGAGGTACTTTATTTGAGTATTTTCCTCTTAGATTTCTGCTTCTACCTACAATGAAGGTGTGTGTGTGTGTGTGTGTGTGTGTGTGTGGCAGAGCTGAACTACAGAGTGGACATGGTGACCTGGAACCAGTACCTCCGCTGGGGGGTCGTCTACATCCGGCTGCACAACGGCAGAAACTTCACCGAGGTCCGAATAGACCAGTGAGTCCGTCAGCTTAAATCCACGCGAGTTCACACGTCACACAGACAATAAATAAAACTAAAAGATGTCCTCCTCCTCTTTGTTTCTCCCAGTAAGCGCCTCCGGTTCGAGCAGTACACCTCCACCAGGCTGCTGGCCCAGTTCGATGAGGACCTGCAGCAGGTCCAGAAGATCTCCATGCGCATCAACACCGGCAACGTGATCGGCCCGCGGTACAAAATCAGACTGCTGCGGATACGCTTCACTCCGCTGGAGCGTCCCGAGAGGTCGGTGCTGAACCCAGACCTGTTCCTTAAATTAGATTTTATTCTGTTTTAGACATCTCAGAACTAATTGTTCTTCTTCTTCTCTGTCAGGCCTCTAATGTGCCGTTATGACATCATCATGGAGGAGAACATGGAGGTGGCGTTTCGACCTCTGCCCTGCAACTCCCACCTCTGACTCCCCGACCAGTCTCTCTTCTTCCTCTTCCTCTTCCTCTTCCTCTCATGGAAACACATCTGAACTCACCCGGAACCCCAGAGTCCTCTCTGGGTGCTACAGGGTCTCCTGCAGGGGCCCGGACACAGGAGGAGCTGCAGCCTCCCGGACCGGAGGATGAACCCGACTGGAGCTGTTGGAAAAGAACTGAACCCTCTGGTGCTCGTCACCGTCTCTCTGCTGCAGCCGGAGAGACCTCAGGGATCAGGTCTCCTACAAACGCGTGTTAAAACAAAGAGCTTTATCTCAAAAGTTGGATTTGTATTAGAGAAGTAATTTTGTTTTATTGAAAAAACAACTTTATTATCTTTAATTTCTTTAAAAATAATAAAACGTATGAACTATTCCACCTTGATTAAGACCCTGTGAGGTTGAAACTGTTAGTTTACTTTAAAATGACACAATGTGAAAATGTTTTTAATAATCAGCTCTCGCTCTGGATTCTTCAAGACATTTGTGATGTCGGCGATCGTCCAACAAAAAAAATGTGAAAGCATTCAATTTCCTGTTATTGATCCGTCTCAGTGAAGTTACAGAGATGAATATGAACACAGCTTCTTACCTCCGTGTGCCTTCGAGTGTTTGTAGTTTGTTTATTTGGGGACGAATAACCAGCAGGTTTTTACTTCAAAAATGTTCATCTGTTGGAAAGTGTTTTAGGGACTCGAGAGTCAGTAAATGTTGTAACTGTTAACGACTGAGCAGCCAGAACAAACATGTAGAACTCAAGAAAAAATGTTTGAAACCTGAACTGTTGTCTTTTTTTATGATGTATTTTCACCCGCGGTTTGAAATAAATGTTCATTTGAGAAAAACATGATGTATTTTTACACTAATTTTGCAAGTGTGATATCAAAAGTGACGTCTCACGCTCATATCTTGTGCTTTAAAGCTTTAAAAACGTTTCTCTGGAGAAAAAACACATTTAACAGTTTCATTGCTGGATAATCTATAATTATGTTTAAAATGACCCGGTCACTAACCAACAAATAGGACTCATTGAGACTCAAGACAAAATCAAAATGACAAAATGTTTTATTTATTCAGCAACGCTGTCGTGTGTCACCAACAGAAGTCATACGACAACAAAAATAAAGACAACAGAACTTCAATAAGCAGATAAACCGTCACTGGATGTGTTGGTCACCTGACTGCAGGACTAAATGAATGAACAATCATTTTAATTTGTATTTTATCAACTTCATCTCCGCTGATGAATCTGTGGATGTTTCAAACCAACATTTATCCTGATAAACGACTGATTAAAAAACAATAAAGACCAAACATCTATAGAGACAAAGTGTGAAATGAGAAGATAGAGACATCGATGTGAGAAAGACAGAAATAAACAAAGATGGACGTCAGAACAGGTGCTGCTCTTCCTCTTCTTCACAGTTTGATACGACGGCGACAGAACTCGGCCTCGAGACGAAGACAAATCTCTTTTTAATTGGCTGCTTGTTTTAAAATGAGAAAACCAGCAGCAGCCGATCGGGGATACCGTCCCAGTGTCCGATCACCAGTTAGGACCTACGAATGGTAGAGAGAGAGAGAGAGACGGAGAGAGAGGGAGAGGAGGTCAGAGGGTCACGGTCGTCGGGCAGAAACAACAGAAGAGGATTTGAGCCGGTGTGAACGGAGAAAGAGAGAAGACGGGATTTGGAGCTCAGGTATGATTAGAAGCTGAGCGACGGGGGAACTCTCCTTTAAAGAGTCACGTGTGAAGTCAACAGTCAAGAGGAGCGTGGAAGAGTTTAACCGACATGAACATGAAGCTGAACGGAGGAAAGAAGGATGTTATACAACCGGAGCAGACAGAGCTCATCACAAGAGTCACTGAGCAGCTGCTGCATGTCGGCTGGGACTGAGACACACCATAGTGTGTGTTGTAGATAAATGAAAAACAAGATTATTTGTTATATTTGTATTCATTTTATTGTATTAAATTTAATGTATTCATTTATTTTATATATTTTATTTTAATTTATTTTAATTATTATATTTTATTTATTTATCTGTGTGATTATTCTGGAACCTAATTCCAAGTAAATCTTTATTGTTTAAATTAATTTGACCCGTTTAAAAATAATAAACATATTAAGATGTGCCGACCGATCGACGGTGTCGCACTCATCGATCCGATCTCTTGATTTAAGTAACAAACTTAAACTTAAACAGACATGAAGATAAAACATCAGTTCAGTTAAACTTTGAGCAGTTTTGGAAAAATGTAAACTGTTTTAGATTAGATTCAGATTCAACTTTATTGTTGTTTTATTGTAAACATACAATGAATTTAAATATTCCATGAAAGCAACGTTATAAAATGTATTATAGTCCTCAAATAACAGTAACTGGTGCCTTTCTGTTGATTATAGATATTTAATCTCCAAGTATGGAGGCACATTACCGCTGAAAAGATAAAAAGTTAGACTTCATGATGAACATATCCCCATGAGAAGTTTAAATGATGAGACAGAAAGTCATAATAATGAGCGGATTGGTGGGAACGGGCTTCCATACCTGCGTTAGTTCTCAGAGTCTCGTTACCTTCGGGGTTGTTGTGGTTGTTCGGCCGCCTCATCGGTCTGATCGGGTTGACGGGCCGAGTGTTCCTGCGTTGGGCGGCGTAGGGAGCTCCTCTCCTTGGTCCCTGAAGACGGAGACAGAAAGGTTAGAGTCACGTGATCCCCATCAGACGGATCACGTGACTCTCTCTAAAGGCTCACCGCGAGTCCTTCTCGTCTCCGGCTCTGCTCCTCTGACCAGCTGGAGAAGCCTTCGTCCTCCGTCTGAGACATCTCGTCCTGGTCGCTGTACTCGAACCCCGGCTCACTGACGGAGACATCAGCACAAAGTACACATTACATTTAGATGAAACGCTCTACGGGTCTGTTTTACTTCTACTTTTGTTTGTGAGCGTTTCTGCTTCACTGCAGCGTAAACAATCAACAGTTTGGGGACAAAATAAAGTGATTAATTGATATTTTGTGCTAAAGACGCTAACTTCCTGCTGGACTCCTCCCTGCAGCGCTCTATTAGCGCAACGTTAGGCCTGATAACTGACGACAGTGAGCGTAATGTCACCTGCTGGGCCCCGGGGGGCGCTGTGACATGCTGCTCCCTGATATGGTGACTTTAACCCCCTCCAGCCTCTCCTGTCTCCTCCTCTCCAGGTCGTGCCTCAGGTCTCCTGGGCCTCGAACCGGCTGTCAACACGCATCAAGAACGTACATTTATTCTTAATTCATCAAAGTATCATCAACGGTCTGGTGATTGTAGGATGCAGAGTATTAAAGATGGAGCTCTTTCTTTACCTGCAAGACTCCCAGTCTGGAGAACAGAGGCTCGTCGTCATCGTCATCGAGCAGCGAGTTTATATTTAAACTGAAGCCTCTGCAGAAGAACAAAGTATTTACACAACTTAAAACAAGAGGTTTAAACATTTAGAAACTACTAACTTGACACAGTAGTTAAAGGTACAAAGATGACTAAATAAAAACTTAAAGGTTTTCAAAAGGCAGATTCACAGAGTCTTTATCTAAGCTAGAGTTGTCGTTGATATTGTTCTTTACTTTTGTTCAGAGTTGAAGAGAAACAGAGAACAGAGACGTACCGGTTGGAGCTGAACCTCTCGTCCAGCGTCAGCTCCTCAGACTCGTCCTCAGAGTAGCCGCCGGTTTGTGGAGTTGAGAATCGCTCGCTGAGAGAGACCCCGTCGTCTCTGAAATACTGCTCTGCAGACACAAACAGGAAACACTTCAATATCAGGAGTTGTAGTTTCACATCAGAGTAACTGGAGTCTCTCTTCACAGATCATCACGCTCACATAGAACCTCAGATCTTTCCTCTCATGTTGGTTTTAAAATGACAACTTAAAGACCAAAACGAATGACTGAAGAACCACAGACACACTGGCAGCTGACCTTTGACGTGGTGCACCAGCATGATGATTTCCTGGGCGAAGGCCCCGGTGTGCGCGGCGGACTCCCGGTACGTCCCGGAGTGCTCCAGCATGGGCAGGAAGTCCAGACGCTGGCGGCCCACGTTGACCAGGTCTAGAGAGAGCTGCCGGTCTGAGGAGTAACACAGCGAGCTGCAGGGGAGGAGGAGGAGGAGGAGGAGGAATGAAACCAGCACAGCTCACACTGGTTCACATCAACACAGGACGTTAGCTCATGTTTAGGTTCAACAGGAGGAAGACGCTGCAGCGTTTTAAAGTCATGTTACAGGTTTAAAGGACTGGCTAACTCTCTCTGCAACTCATTTACTTCTTCGAAAAGTGTCTGTGGCTCCGATTACTGCGGCCAGAAGACAAGTAGCTTAAAGTCCTGACAGACAGAATATTAATGTTCTATACTTTAGCCATAATACTTCACATCACATCTGGGTAAATAAAGACAAATAAACGTCTTTACCTTACCTGATGAACTTACCTTTCACAGAGATCCACAACTGATAATGTCTAAAATAACTAAAGCTACATGAACACGACTGAGTTTATAAATCTAGAAACTTAAAAGGAAATAAACACGTTGCTCATCCCGGAGGTGTTGTTCAACACTCTACAGCCACTTTGTTCTGAAATGTCCTAACTAGATAAACTTGAGCCGTGTTGCACACGTTCAGTATCAATCGGGCAAAAAGCTTCGAGTGGAAGCCGGAGGAGAAATAAAAAGATGGCTCCTCTCTTTCAGACAGGTGAGATAAACGTCGGGTGAAAGTTCACACTTCTTCTCTAGTTTGATCCGTTAATGTGTCGGACTCATTGGTCTCAGTTCATCATCTCGTACGACCTTTTCTTCGGCCATCTTGTCTGATGTTGATCGGTGATCTCTGCCTCTCGGTTTGATTGATCCTCCGTTTACTTGTGGAGACTCTTCTGGTCCATTTCTGCTTTTAACTGAAGACATTTTCATTCCTCCCTCGTTCCAGCTTCCTTTTCTCTTCTCAACAGCACTGACGTTTGTGTTTCTTCTTCTTCTTTTCCAGATTTGTTGATAATGTTTATGGCTTTGATTTCTGCTGATGCTGCGGTTTCTCCTTCATCCGCATCGTTCTTCGATTTCGTTTGTCGTTACAGCTCCGGGGCCGCTCCAGTTCTTCAGCATTGATGCTGTTTTTGTTTCAAGGCTTTAACCAGCACTGATATTTAATCTCATGGCTTTGATTTCTCCTTTCGATGGCACAGCGATGAGGCTGCAATCCGTTCATCATCACGACGATGTTCGTGGCTGTAAATTTGCAACAGCGTTGATGATGTTTCAGTTTCTCCTATTTAACAGCGTTAATGTTCACGTTCACAGCTTCAACTTCTTCTTCACACAATGAGAATGAATCCTGAAGTCAGTGATGTTGTTGATGGCAAAGCTCGTCTTCTTCATCAGCCACTCTGACGAGGAGCTGATGTTCCGTTCCTTTTCTTGCTGCAAGTGATTTCTTGTCTTCCTTTGGTTCCTCCGAGTTCCTGAAGTCTCCTCAGCTGTTCATGTTCGTCTGAACTTGGATGCATCCCAGCACTCACACTGTGAATCCTCCAGAGACAAGTTTAATAAACATGTTTCTCTATCTGGACAATGAAGGCGGTTGCTCTTCTTAAAGCCACAAACACTCCCAGCTCATCTACAGGGTGGGAGAACCTGGCAGAACATGTTTCTGACCATAGCTGGTGTTGTTGGTCTTCACGTCCTCTCGCTGTCTGCAGCTTCTCTTTAGTTCCAAACATGTGGAGCAGCAGCTCCCGTAAAGCTCAAAGACGCTCTCATCTTCCCGTCACATATCCTGAGTAAAACCCCCCCCCCCCTTCATCGCAGGGCTTTTCTTCCTTTAACAATTCCTTCCTCTGGTGTGCTGAGGGATGTTTCTTAATCCTTCCACATATTCAAATCTTTGACTTCTGTCAACAGTTTGACCAAAATGCAGCTGAAGAAATGATTCAGAGAATCATCATAAACGCCAACTGTGCAAATCCGCTCAACCTGAGGCCACACGTGTCGCGTCAATCAGGAGGTTAATGATGTCCTCCTTCCATGTTCAGTCCAACAACTCTGGACTTCACTTGAGTGATGACAGACAGCAACATGCCTTCAGACATCCTTCTCTTTGTGCCGGGTGAGTCTCTTCACGAGTGACAGAGAACCAAAGCCTGGTTCAGGTCTTCTCAATACGATCTTCTAGATGCAGGAACTGGTTCGTTTCTGCAGCGAACTCCTCCTCACGCACACCAGCGCGATGTTAGAGTCTTGCTTCTTCTGTGGTCGGCGTGGGGCTGAATCCTGACCGGTCAACCTCTCGTATGTCGTCTTCTCCGTCTGCCTTCCAGCTCGCTGAGATTTGGATTAAAAATGCCAAAACACAGAGCACCGTTGAGGAGAACGCAGACGTTACGATGCTTTTCTGTCAGCCATCATTCAGCTTTAAAATCCAGTCTTCTGCTGTTGGAGGTGCTCTTCTGTCTGTTGCTTTGTGCGTCTCATCAGTTCATCAGCATAAAGATGCGAGTGAATGCCTCTTATATCCTTGTGTTAATGTGGAATCATAAAAGGATTTGCAGGTGATGCCACCTCGTATGTAACACGGTCACGTTCCCAAAGACATCCGACATCTCTTCAGTGATGTTTACTTCAACCGGGGTTTGATTTCTTCCGGAGGCTTCGACATCGACAGCAGTAAAGCGTCTCCGCCTGCTGTAAAAACACCAGGTTTCCTGTGAGGGCGACTTCTCCTTTGGAGAAAACTTCTGCAAGGCATCCTGACGCAAAAGCAGCCAATAAAAAGTTTGTACCACGAGGGATCACCTTTACAGCAAAGGTACAAACACAATGCAGCTCAATGAAGATGAACGTTGCGTCCTGTGATTTCCTTCTTCTTCCGTCAGCAGCTTTCAGTGAACTTACAAAGAAGTGTGAACTTTCCCCTCTCACCCTTCAGAATTAGATTTTTTTGTTTAACACTCTACCTGTTATTGTTTACGGGTCGGCTCATGTCGACTTTGATGGTTAGCGTTTCCTCCGTTACGACGGCCATGTTGTTGGGTTTCTGATCGCTCCACCCTCGCTGCCTCTGACGGGGCATTTTAGGGTCCAGGATGTTCCTCTGCAGGTGCCGCTCTTCCTCTGGCCAGTCGGGCTCCGTGTCGACGGGGTCCTCGTTAACGTCTCCCCTGAAGGGTCGGTACCCCGGTCTTTGCTCTTCGTGAGGAAAATCTTGGTATCCTTGTGAGGACGGCTGAACGCGTGGTTGAGTCCTGGGCGGTCCGGTTCTTCCACCCTGACCACGGCTGAACTGCCCTCTCGCTGGCTGAGACCCACCGTTCCCCCGGTGGTTCACGGGACCCTCTCGATTACCGTATCTCACGGGGTTCGGTCTCTCTTGCGGCGCGGGGTTCCTCCTAGTTTCATGATAGTTGGGGTCCCTCCAGTTATCTTGGCGTCCTCTTGCATCTTCCCGATCATCCAACCTGCTGTCCGGCGTCCTGAAACGCTCCTGAGACGAGCTCACCTGACGGGGACTCCTCTGACGATCAAAGTCGGGGTCGAGATCTCTGCGATCGTCAAATTGTTCCCACCGTGGCGGCTCCTTGCTGTCGGCGATGCCGTGATCGTGTTCAACGACGAGCGGTCCAGAGTGCCGAGTGTCTCCTCCAAACCTATCTCTGGGTGAGTCCACCCCAAAGTCCTCCTCATTCCTGTACCTGTGACAGCATAAGAGGAGGTGACATGGTTCAACAATTATTCATGCTCATTATTCAACTTCACATCTGGTTTTAAATGTTCACTTGACATTAGCTTTGGACACAACAAGTCTACATCAAATATCTGATTTAGGTATTTATCGACAATGCGGTGTTTTCAACAGAAGATATGCAGATGTTCTCTAAAGAATCAGAAGAAGTTGAAAGCAGGAAGAGTTTAAGCCATGCAGACGACTAGTTAGAAAAAAGGTGTGATGACAAGCAATGAGGAATTTTTCGCTATGGGAAAATTAGAAAGATGAGAATCTTCTGCATTCTTCGTTTCCTTTTCGACAGTGCTGCAAAGCATTTCGCTTAAAATTTACCCAAGGTGAGTGGCGTCATCCATTTCTCTCCTTTGCCTTTTAAAGGTGGGGTTCCTCTCCTGATGGGAGTCCTCTCTTCGTCTGTCTCTGTAAGGACCCTGTGCAGGCTTCCTTCCTCTTTCCCTACCTGCTCCCCCTCTTTGGTCCTCCGACCTCCCACTGGGACTGAGGTCCCTGAACCTCCCTCGACCTCGGCCCTGCTCCTCTCTCCTCGAGCTGATCCCCGGCTCTCTCTGTTGGTGGTCCGGGTGAGGCCTCGGCGTCAGCGGCAATTTTTCCCTCGCCAACCTCAGAGGCGACTGAAGGAACCTCTCCCTGTTTTCATATCTCTGGAAGAGCTCTCTAAACCCTCCTCTGCGTCTTCCTCCACCTCCACCTCCTCCTCCTCCTCCTCCATCATCATGCAGTGGGGAAAGCCTCCGGTCTTCATCAAAGCTCGTCACACTATGACGTGGCGACGGCCTCTGGCGGTAAAACTCCTCCTGGTTCGGATGGCGTTGATGCCCAAAGTGACGGTCGTCTGGGAAAGGAGAGGTTCTCCTCGGGGCTTCAGGGTGCATGTCTTCCCTGACGTAGTTCCAGTGCTCTTCAGGATCTTCTCGGGAGCGGTGGCTCCTCTGCGACGGATTCCCGTCGAGTTCTGCAACGACTTTGTGAGGATCAAAGTCTGGTTCATCCCACGGGAACCTCCTAAAAGAGTAAACATTGAAAAAAAGTCATATCACAACCTCAGTAAGACATAAATCAAGTCATTCATTTATGTACACATAGGTAGAGATTAATACGTTTTAACTCGTATATAAAAATGAAATAATGTCGATGCAATTACCTGTAACGTGGTGATCTGGACCGTGGTCTTGACATTTGTCAACCTTTAAGGAAAGGAGAGTTTTTAGTTTAACCTGCCAATTGAGAGCATGACAGCTTGTCTTTCTGATCCACATTTACAGTTAATTGCACAAAATAATATTACGCTGGGTGCAGATTGAGTGGGTTAATTCTGGTCGCAATAATAATACAACCAAAGCTTAATTATGGATGTTAACCTAACTTAAAATGTAAACTATTAAAGTTATTGTTCTTTATTTGTTGACAAACTTAGCCGTTAGCAGCTAACTTTGCAGACGCACACAAGCTAACTTTAGCCACAAGCTCTATTGCGTTTAGATGGACATCAAGCTAACGTTTAGCTTGCTAACGCTAAAGCTAGCTAGCAGCTAACATTACGTAATCAGTTGTCTTACCTTCGTCCTCGTCGCGCGCCAGGCTACCGCGGCTAACGTTAGCTAAAGCGATGACAAACACGGCAATAACACACGATATAACCGTTTGTACTTTCGGAATAAAAAGCCTATTTATTGCCAGATTTAACCCCAAAGTTAAAGCTAAATGTGCTGTGTTTTTCCCATTAAAGTCTGCAAGAAAATGGCTGTAGTCGATCCTCAAACTGCCGAGAAACTGTACGGGTCCGGCACTTCCGCCACGGTCTTTTCAGAATAAGACTATTAGGTGTGAAAATCCACATTTCAGCTTAAAAAAACCCACATCACGCTATTAAATGGAAAAATGTGTAAATATGAATTAATAGTAATATATTTAGAGAGTTTCTTCTGTTATAACTGTTCAGTATCAATTACAAAATACTGTACTCACATTACTCTGAAAAGGTAACTTGCTGCCCTGTCATTGGCTAAGAATGAACCCCCATTTCTCAGTCTTTTATGATTATTTGCATAAATATACAAACGTGTGGTTATTTGCCAACATTATTATTCAAACTGCTCTTGTGTTCAGATAACACATCCTATGTGTAAGATTCTACCAGAAAAAGGATGTAAATGATGGAAGGAAACATTATCAATTTAAGCCCATAGTCTTGAAATAGTGAGTAAAATGGTTGATTTATGTCATAATTCTGTTTTAGTTTTTCCTGGCTGAAACAGCGATGTGTTCCCAAACATTTATAATTACTCAATTATGTAAAGCACGCCGAGCGGCTACGGAATCCCGTAAACAATAACATATACAAAATAGGTGTTTTGAGCTAGAACATATAAAAGTTAATTTACCTTTAGTAAAGGTCATTAGTTGAGTCTCAAGGTTTGTTAGATGTGCTAATGCAGAACGTGAGACTGGACGGTGAATTAGTAGGAAAGTATGTGCTGGTGTTGGCTTTGATGGTGTTGCCATTCTCTCCCTAGGCTTGGGAGGCATGTGTAATGTTCCTGTCTTACGGTTCTGTTAGCACGTCCCGGGACAGGCGAGCCCTCCTGCTCACAGACTGCAACCAGCGGTGCAGAACATTCAGGAAAGGTTCCTCTGCTTTACTGACCTTCAGGATGAGCTCATGCGCGTTCAGCCGGTGAGAGAAGACAAAGCCCCCCTGATGGCTCGCAGACTGCTGTGTTTCCTCTGTCGATGATCGGTGGCTTGGACTGTGAAGTCGATTTAACCTCAATATCCAAAAGCTGGTTTAATACTTAGTTGCTATCTGACTCGTGCATTACACAGAATACAAGCAAACCGAGTTGTCCGGACTCACCTGACTAGAACAAAGAATTGTAACTTACTTTATAACTTCGCCACCCCCCATTCATGATGCCCCCCCCCCTCTTACTCATCAGCTCTCAATGTTCCTCTCAACAGTCATTTCGTTCATCATGAATACAGTAGGGATTCATAACGGTTTTTCGGATCCCGGTCCCCGGGGCGTGTGGGACAGCTGGGCCGGTGAGATGTACAGTTGGTTCACTAATTAATCAATCTCATGAGGGACACCTGTCAGAGGATCCTACTGGTCCTTGTTCCTCGTCATAATAACTCTCAACAGGAATGCAGTCCAGTGTCCAGTATCTATGCATCTACTATGTACGGGCCTATGTGCTGCTTGGATTTTAGCTTTAAATCTTTCCCCGGCTTTGTCTCAGTCCCCCCCTCCTTCTTCTTAATTTATGCTCCTGCCAAACTTCTGGCTTCACCATGACAGCCATCCAAAGGTCATAGTGACCCAAGATGCGCCGGACAGTCTGGTCCCGGCGCCTATACACAAAGGACATCCTGTTTCCTGAAATACATGAATCATGTGAGTAATCCTATGTCTGTGACTATATGACTGCAGGGGCATGAACTGAGTTTGATACAAAAGAGTATAAATGTAACATTATAAAGATAACAGAGCGGACGTATAATAAGAATATCGTTGTAAACGCATCTATTCTACAGATAGATGAATAAACACATATGATAACCCCGGAGCAAATAACATCGTGGCAAACGCATACATGTTTCCTCCCTCAATAATTATTAACCATTTTTATTTTGACAGCTGAATATTCAGTTCCTAATAGTATGTAAATAAAATAAACGTTCTAATATCTTCAGATCAATACATCTGTGCAGGAATCTCAAGTAAAAAAACAAACAATGGTTCAACTTTTGCAGATCAGTTTTAATTTCAGTGCAGCATAAAGTCGACACACAGTGAGATATAATGATAAATAAAAGTGGCTGCGTTAAGCTCTACACTACATTTCATACGTCCCTCGTTACGAATGTCAAAGATCAAACATCTCATACAGTTTTGAATCTTTACCGTCTCCCTTCATGTCCTCACTCCAAAGTGTCCGTTCGCCATTTTTATACGATTATTTATTATTCATCCAGCTCACCGACACGAATGGCTTGATGAAGTTTATTGTTCTTTTTCAGCAGTTATCCATGCACCACATCTACTATGATATATTCCACCAAGCTGCAGTGTCACAGAGTTAAATAATATTGTGTCCTTTATTATTATCTTTTACTTCATGTACAAGGGGGAACCTGGAGACCGATGAGCTTCAGCAGAATCTGGAGGAACAGCGAGCTGACACAGCGAGAGAAGGAACGTGACACAATGAGCTGAAGGTTGCAGCAGTGACGAGAAAACACGTTGCATTTCCCCTCAACGTGGCACCTCGGAGCGGCAGCAGAGCCGCTTTTCCACAACAAGAACTTCCCTTTGCACCCGTCCCTGTGGAAGGTTGATTTATAACGGCATGAAGAAGAGTTTAAATATACTCCGCGTTGTACTTTAAGGCTGATTCAAATGTTTTTGGACTGCTCTGAGGCAGAACAATCACATAGATGAAAGTTTAAAAGCACTAAAGGAATGTTAATAGTCGTCACCAGGATGGCGTACATGACACCGGACCATATGATGTCACTGAACAGTCGGACTGTTGGGATTTTTAAAGGCTGACTCACGCATCCTGTTGACAATTTATTATCCCAAAAAACTGAATAAATTACATTAAAAAAGAAATGTGTAGAGTTTGGTTGGTGGCTGGTCACAGACACTAAAGGAATTAAATGTTCTGCACCAGAATACCTGGTACCAGACCATAATGTAGTGTCTGGCCTGGCTATTGGCCCTGATCCTCCACACGGTACACCTGGAGCCTTTATGGCCCCCAGCTGGTCATCTGACCTGATCTACCTGAACAGGTGCAGCTGTGAATCAAACACAGACTTTCCTTAAAGGGGGGGGGGGCGTAGTTCTTGTTTCAGGGTCTTTTTTAGTGGAAAAGAGGCTTTTAAAACAGCTAAAGTGTCACATGCTGGGTGACACACGGAGGACGGGGCTACAGAGGTTTAAGGCCTCAGAGGTGATGAGAAAGGTGGAGACGGCTGTTTAACACCAGACTCTGTTCTGAATGGTGAGGTATATTTAAGCTGTGGGGGGGGGAGGGGTACAAGCGTCTTCAGAGCAGTGAAACACAGGACTTCTGTGAGTGCACACTATTAAACTGCAGCTGTAGCGTGGTGACAGTCAGTGCCAGACAAATACACAACACACTGTGTCAACATGTACCTCCACCTGCAGGCGGAAACACAGGACGTGTTCATCTCGTCCTCGCTGTGGATCGTCCATCGATCGAAGGACGAGCAGCAGGAAGAAACTGAAGCCAAAGCGACAGGCGAAGTGTTTCTGGGTTATAGTATAGTCGTTGATGGTGAGTTTCTTCACAGCAGACTGAGGGGTTTGTCGTTACGTAGGAGCAGAGCCGATCAGAGTTTAAATAAACACACAGGAACCATCAGACACACAGAGGGAGAGACTCCCACACACTGTTCAAGTACACGACTACGACCATTAACAGTCAGCTATAGTTCCTCACTGGAGACGCTACACGGGATTCACACAACAGTGTCTGTTTTTTTTCTTTTACTGCCTCCCCTCCAGATAAACTGCTACAGAGGCCGACTCCTCCGCCCGTCAGGTCTATTTACAGAGTTCTACAAAAAGCAGGCATGAGAGAGGTTAAAGCGGGCGATACCGTTGAGTTATATTTTGTGGCAGTGCAGCTGGGCAACACCAACAGATGAGACGAGGAGCAGATGGATGCCTGAAGTCTGGGAATTTTGTAATGCAAAAAAATATGTTTTCTATTGAGTTCTATTGATGCACATAATTAAACAATTTATAGCCCAAAAACTAAATTATATCGGAAAAACTAATAATATTGACTGTTCCTCAGCAGAATGACACCAGACCATAATGTAGGGAGGTACTGTAAAGTGTATTAAATATATATATATAACTTATATAAATAATAAGTTTGGTTGATGGCTGATCATTAACACTAAAGGAATTTAGTATTATTCCCCAGACTGATGCGTGCAGATTTAATGTGACGCTGAACTTTAATCCTCATAAGTTGTATAAGTGTTTACAGTGGTTTGACAACATGCAACAGCTTCCTTCTCTGTCACATACACCACGTCATTACATACACTTCACATTATTTGCATGATTTCTGTGTTTGTGAGAGTCTAAACTGCCCATTTGCACCGCCTCAAAATGTGCCCAGAAGCTTAACTGTTACGCGAGGTTTTGGTGATACAGATGTGAGATCAGTTGTTCGGCGTTCGTTCCTCGTGGAGATGTTGATTGTTGCTGCTGCTGCAGAGAGAAGCGCTCGGCCTCTTGGTCTGTTCGTCCTGTTTCGACAGAAACCGGCCGGCTCCTGAGAGAGAGAGAGAGAATATAAACCCGCTCAAACCTGTTTGTGTTTTTAATCTGTCATGTATTTATGACTCACTAAAACCCGTCACAGACGTGTATTTATGTCCGACTCAGCGAAATGTGACTTCATGCACAATCTTCTATCTGATAATATTATTTAAAACTTTAGTTCAATGCAACTTTTATGAATTACTGCGGACACTGAGATCAACAACCCGGTGCTGGAAGAGCTTCAAACAGCTGGTTGATAAGAGGCGGCGGGTCTCTACCTGGCTACTGGACGTCCAGTTTGCTCGACCCGATGCTGTGGATGAGCTGAGAGGATTCAGAGGCGGCGCTGTACGCTTCAATCAGCAGGTTCTTGTTGAGGTCGCCGACCCCGCTGCCGGCCTGCAGTTTGGGGTAAGCGGGCGTCTCGCCGACCTGTTGCTGTCCTCGGCCGTGGGCCTCCAGGTCCATCAGGTGCTCCAGGGTGCAGCCCTCCGTCCCCTCTGTCAGCGGGGAAAACTCATGAGCGCTGGGCTGCTCGTCCCTGGACACTGGACTGATGGAGACAGATGGAGAACTTCAAGACACAATGATGACAGAGACAGGATATCTCATTAATTCATTTTACACACAGGTTTTTTTATGAAGAGATGTTCAACATGAGATCGGGATGAAAGCTGTCTCCATGTTTGTGTATTCTTTTTTAGAAATTCTTCCTTCATCTCAGAAACCCGAAACACAACTTTGTCTGTTTGGTGAGCAGGCGGCAACCTCCGGTTCTGACAAGGGAAGCCGATGCTTCAAGTGTTAAAGCTGCATTCTCTCTAGTGTCCACCAGGGGGCGACTCCTCTGGTTGTATAGCAGTCTATGAGAAAATGACTCTACTTCTCTCTTGATTTATTACCTCAG